AAAAAAAAAAAAAAAAAAAAAAAAAAAAAAAGCCTCAACAAGATACTGGCAAACAGAACGCAGCAAATCATCAAGAATATTGTATACCATGATCAAGTAAGACTCATCCCAGGGATACAGGGATGAGTCACCTTACAGTAAATAATCATCAATAAGTGTAATACACCATATAAACAGAATCAAGGACAGAAAAATCACTTGACCATCTCAATAGGTGCAGAAAAAGCATTTGACAAAATCCTATATCCATTCATGATTTTTGAAAAGTCCTGAAGAAAACAGGAATAAAAGATTTTTATCTCAACTTGAGAGCCACCTATTACAAACCAGTAGCAAATGGCAAGAAGCTGAAAGTTTTCTCTCTAAAATAAAGAACAAGCCATCGATGTCTGCTACTGATGTTCAATATAGTTTTCAAAACAATTGCTTCAGCTGGGTGTGGTTATGCATGCCTGTAATTCCAGCACCCAGGAGCCTGAGGCAGAACCATCACTATATGTTCAAGACCAGCCTGGGTTACAAAGTGAGCTCCAGTCCAGTCTGAAATACATAGTAAGACCCCATCTCAAACAAACAAACAAAAATTGCTAGGGCATTTAAACAAGAAAAACAAACCAAAGGGGTACAGAGAGGAAAGGAAGAAGTCAAATTATCATTATTTGCAGATGACATGATCCTCACATAGAAGACCATTAAAAATTCCATCAAACAACTCCTAGAATTAATAAGCAAATTCAGTAGTATATCTGAGTTCTAATGGCTTATACCTAGCTGTCCCTGAAGAGCCTCATGTGCCCATAAGTACAGTTTTTGACAGCTGACTTGATCATAGGTATGATACTTGACCATGAATGTATGGTACTACACTAGTCCACTGATTGCTTTTGCATAGTTCTGGGTATGGATGATGGACTTCCTAAAGAGAAGACCCTACTCTGGGTGTGATAACACCAACCAATAGGCTTGCTGCCTGGATGGAATAAAAAGGGAAAAAAAGAGGAAGGCTTGCTGTTCCTGCCTGTCACATCATGAACTATTTCTCCTCTCCCATAACCCTCTCCAACACTGCCCTGCCTTGGAACCAGCCAACTACTGACTGTTACCTCTACAAACTGAGCTAAAGTAATTTTCCTCTTTAACTTGTGGGTTTTAGATATTTTTTCCCAGCAAAGAGAAAGTAACTAAGACAAGAATACAAAATCAACACTAAAAAAAAATCAATAGTGTTCCTCTATATCAATAACAAATTCAGAAAGAGAAAAATTAGGAAAACAATACCTTTCATAATAGTATCAAAAAAAAAAAAAAAAAAAACTTAGGAATTAACCTAACCAAGGAAGTAAAAGACTTCTACAATGGAAACTACAAAACTTTCAAAAAGGAAATTATCATTGCTATTTGTCTGTCAATAAAATTATGGAGAAAAAAAAAAAGGAAATTAAAGAGAACACAAAAAAGGAAAGAACTTCCTGTTCCTAGATAGGCAGAACCATATAGTCAAAATGATCATATATCTAAAACTGTTATAAACATCTAATGCAATCTTAATCAAGGTATCAATAGCATTCCTTACAAACTGAAGAAAACAATCCTAAAATTCATATGAAAGCAGAAAAACCTAGAATAACAAATGCAATCTGGGATAATAAAGGCACAGCAGAGGATATCACAATCCCAGACTTCAAGTTATATACTGATTATAGCTTGATTATAATTTCAAGCTATTCAGTGATTAAAAAAACAGCACAATATTGGCAAAAATAAAAAACTTACAGATCTGTGGAGCAGAACAGAGGATGCAGAAACAATTTCAGGCACACTCACCTATGTTACCTTTCACAAAGGTGCCAAATACTCTCACTGGAAGAAAGACACATTCTTTAATAAGTGGTGAGAAAATTGGCCACCTACATGTCACAGATTGAATCTAGACCCATATCTCTCACCATGCATTTAACTAAAATCAAAACGGATCAAAGGGCTAAACAATGAAACAGAAACAATCTGCTAGAATATAAAATAGGTAAAACCTTTGAAGACTGATGTAGGCAGAGACTTTCTGAACAAAACCTCCGTTGCATAGGAAATAATGCCAAGCTTCAACAAAAGTAATCAAATTAAATTTAAAAGCTTAGATACAGCAAAGGAAACAGTGGCAACACTAGAGTTTGTGCCACTCGGGGGAGTTCCTCAATTTGCCACCCTCCATTATATCTGAGTATACTAACCCATTTAAATACCACCACCAAAAAAAAAAAAAAAAAAAAAGTGCTACATAGGGTAGACTGCCCCCATCCACCTACTCAGCTACACCACTGAAAGGAAACCTCCAACAGAATGAAAAGAATCTACAGAATAGAAAAAAGAAAAAAAAATTTGCCACCTATTCCACAAAGGACTAACATGTAGAATATATAAGGAACTCAAAAACACTAGAGCTCCCTGTTGTGGTTTGTGTCTAGTTGTCCCCCCAAAGCCTCAGGTAAGTTTTGAGGCAGATGTGACTGGAGGAGCAAAGTGTGGCTTGAGAGGTGGGGCCAAAGGACCAGGCTGGGGCCTGAGGGTCGGGGCCAGAAGGTGCAAACCGTCAAACTGCGCTTTCTGGGAGATGTACAAAGGGTCACTCTGGATATGGCAGCACCCCAACCTCTCCTCCAGACGCTGTAGAGTAGGGGCAGAGTCTTGAAACCTCCAGTAACTGTGAGCTAAAACCTTTCCTTCCCTCATTTTGAGTGCCCAGTATTTGTCCCAGCAACAACAGAAAAGTAACTAAGACACTCCCCACCCTTCAAATTTAAAGAGCTAATCCAAAAAATGGGTATCTGAAATGCATAGACACTTCTCAGATGAAGAAGTACAAATAGCAAATGAATACATGAAAAATGTTCAACATTTTTTGACCAGAATGCTGGCCATTCTCACTCCAGAAAGAATGGGTACCATCAAGAAATCAGCCAATAACAAATGCTGATGAGGCATGGGGCGTTGGGGGGTGGGATTCATCTCCATTCTTGGTGGGAGTGTAAACTGGCATAACTATTATAGAAATCAGAATAGAGATTCTTCCAAAACTAAGAATAGAAATTCCATTTGGTCCAGTTGTTTGCTTTCTAGGTATCTTCCCCCCAAAAGTTAAAGGCATCATACCACAATGATATACATCTCCATGTGTATAGAAACAAATTCATAATAGCAAAATCTGAGAAGCAGCCATATATCCATCACCAGATGAATGGATAAAGAAAGTGCAACATTTATACTTAATAAGGTATTTAACTTTGCTATAAAGGATAATTTGTCACTGTAAGAAAAAAGATGCACTTGAGAACATGTTAAGTGAAATAAATCAGACACACAAGCTTAAAAATCACCTGGTTCCTCTTATAAAAGAAACTCAATAGCAGGGTTCGGAAGCTTGATTCCCCATCCTGGCACGCCAGCCTTGCCCTTAGGCCTTAGGGTGCACTGAGAGGGCAACTGAGACTGGGCGTGTTGGCGCATGCCTATAATCCCAGCGCTTGGGAAGCTGAAAACAGGAAAATCACTGTAAGTCCGGTCTCTGTAGTAAGACCCTGTAGACCCTGCACTAAATACAAACTAAATAAATAAAAAGAAAAACTCAATATATAATTAATGTGAAAAATAAAAAACAGATAAAAATTTTTTTAAAAAACAAGACACAAAGAAAGAAAATTATTGTAATTTAGCACAGACAATGTATATAAAAAATGTACCTTAGGGCTGGCCAGATAGCTCAGCAGACTAAAGCACCTGCTTAAGCAGACACAGAGTCCGGGGTTTGACCCCCAGTGTGCCCTGCCAGCCCTGCACACTGCACACTGAGACTGAGACAGAGACTGGGCATGGTGGCGCATCCCTGTAATCCTAGCACTTAGGAGGCTGAAAACAGGAGGATCACTACAAGTCTGATCTGTGTAGCGAGACCCTGTAGACCCTGTACTAAATACATAAAAAAAAATAAAAGTGTACCTTGATTTAGTATAATCTTATTAGACAACTTGTTAATCTCTATGTAATAACCTTATAAGGACTTATAAAATAAATCTGATGCCAGGGAAAAAGAGGGGGACTGATATGTGTCATGTACATATACCCATTCCCCCACAATAAATTATGTACTACAAACATGTAACAATAACATTACGAATAAAAACAAATTATAAACATTAATTGTACATCATTTTTAATATGTCAAAAAAAAGTTGGAAAGTTTTTTAAAGTCAAAAAAAACAAGTGACGGGGCTGGTGAGATGGCTCAGTGGTCTAAAGCACCTACTTAGAACAAGCTTGGCAAAGCACGGGGACCACGGTTCAATCCCCCAGCACCACATGCCAGCCAGCCCCGCCCCCCTGGTGGACTGAGCTGGCCACACACACACACACACACACACACACACAAATAAATAAAATTTAAAAAAAACAAGTGATAAGCTTCATATACTCTAATACAAAAATTTTTAAACTAAAACGAATAAACTACTAACTCAGATGCCTATATAAGCCTTACCTGAAAGAGTCTTCTGATATGAAACACACTGATGTCTCCACAAAGAAATAGCAGATCTCTCTCGATTTTGCAGTCCATTTAGTCTTTCTGCTAGGCCGCCTCTGCTTAATGAATGTATTAACTTTAGTTAGAAGAAAAGACTCAGAATAGCTAGAATTTACATTCTATACTCTCCAACCAGAGATAAAACATGCAAATTTTTAATGTATTTTTCATATTACAATCTCTTCCAAGAAGCCATCCTGTCCTAGGTCAGTTTTTTTCTTGGAAATTGAATTTCTTGATTGTTAGAAATATGAGGCAATATTATCTCCTAAGAATATAGTATCATACTCTTTTTCTTTTTTTTTTTTTTTTCCTCGAGGAACCAGGGATTGAACTCAGGCCCTTGCGTTTGCCAGGGCCGCGCTTATTCCACTGAGCCATCTCCCTGGCCCTGTATTCTACTCTTCAAAATATGGCAGTTAAGTATCACTTAAGTTGCTATTCTTAGTTCATTTATTCATTTCATAAATATGCACAGCTTGCTATTACCTGCTATTTGCTGGCACTTAACCTTTTGTTAATTAATAAAACAGGATGATAACTTTGTACTATGCTATAGAGGAACCTCACAATGGATTCAGCAGATGAAGGTAAACAGATAGATATAAAGTGGGTTCAGAGTTCCAGTCTAGAATAACTGGAAACTATCTGCATAATTTATAAGATCTAAATCTTGGAAATGTCCTATATGCTCATGAACAAATGATAAAGAAAATGTAGCATTTATACACAATGGAGTATCATTTTTCCATAAAGAAGGATATACCTAAGGCACAGGTAAATGAATGTACTTTTAGACCATAATATAAAATGAACTAAATCAGATAAACAAGGCTAAATATCACATGGTTTCTCTTAATGAGAAATCTAAAATACAAATATTGAGCCAAATAAAAGATAACAAGAAATAAGGAGATCTTTATCAAATGGAAGAGGAAATAAGAAATGGAGTGAGAGAATAGGGAGGGGAAAGGAAAAGAATTAAAGAAAACAAAATGGAAAGGGGACTGACGGAAGGAGCAAGGAAGAATGGGAGGAGAGAATGAAAAGTAGAATTAAGACGTGTTATGTATATGTGCCTACTCCCCACAGTAAATGGAAACATTACTCACTGCAAACATGTACCAGTAAAAAAGTAACCTTGCCAAATTATTCATAGGTACAATACTCAAGTAAGAGTACTTAGAAATAGGCCCATTATTTCAATTCCAGAAACAGAATATCGATCACAAACACATAACAAGGATAGCAATATTATAAAAAAATTTCCATTGATGGTAGGAAGAAAATTCACAACAATTTGCATATAGGTACTAAGAGTCCTTACATATATGTATATATATA